AGATGCAGACTTAACCCTCCAGGAGTTCTGAAGGAACACGACAACATCCCTTCCCCCGGGCCAATGCCTCTCTGAGGACACTGAGATCCGCCTGTGTACAGGAGATGGACTGAAGGCTGTGTAGAGGAGCTGAGCCTTCAACTGAACAACTTGAGTTACAACCAGGCCTCATGAACGAACTGAGTTCGTAAGTCAAGGGTCCACAGATTGGTCAAAGTGGAAGTCTTGAGCTGGTGGATTCTGATTGGTGGAGCTTCGGATTTTGTTTTGCTGACCCTACGGAGTTTTGGGTTTGGAACTCGAGGCACAGGGCCTTTGATGCTCTTTTAACAAGAGGAGATACAGGTGGGCATCCACATCTGGTGGCTGCTCTTGGCTACTTCCTGCTCTGACTTCTGCAGGGGTGACCTTGGGGGACACTGGGCCACCCACATGTCCCTTTGGCTGACACGGTGGCTCCCTGGCTGCTGGGAATGCCGCCGCCCTTCAGAGTTTGCCTCGGCTGCAGAACTGGCCAGTCCAAGGGCGTGACGTTGCCCTGTGCCCAGGGAGGGAGGCACCACGGTGGCCAGCTGGCCAGACACCTGTGACGGTCACCTAGCTCCTGCCACCTGTCCCCAGGCCTCGCCTTCTTTCTCTGCTCCTCCCTGGACACTCCTTAGCAAACATCCTGCCTGTGAGCAACCTGTCTGCACTCTCAGCTCACTCTGCTTCCTCAGGACACTTTCAGGACAGTTCTGGGAGAGCAGCCTTGAGCTCAGGAGCCTTCTCACAACCTTGGGCTTGGCTTGGCTTCAGGAGGGCTGCCATCTTGGAATCTCTCCATGGCTTCCACATCCCGACCCTTGGGGCTGGTGGGCATGAGTGGCAGGCTTCTGGGACATTCCCAAGATCTCTGGTTAAGTCACTGACTGTCGTGACTGTCACTCGATGGCTTTTATCACGGAGGGAAGCACCGCTCCTGCTGCACAGGAAATCATTGGACCAGAAAGCCCAACCATAGCCTATCTCTTGCCGTCCAAGCCTCTCCTGCACAGGGCAGGAGTGAGCTTAGCAGGCACCAGAGGAAGACAGTGACGAAGCAAATGCAGAACACTGGTGTGCTTTTCTGTGAGGCTTTTCTGCCGGGAGAATCTGAGACGAGAAAAGGCCCAGCAATCTTTTTGCTCGGTGCCGCAAGTTACTTCACTGTTTCTTAAATCAGACACAAGAGTGGCATGTGAACAGAATTCTTCAAGGCCGGCAGCCTTCACCCTGCCCTTCGTGCTCTGGCTCTGAAGGGATCAGACCACCATGTGGGGTCTCTGTCCCCAAATTCTGCATCTGCGTGTCAGTGACTGGGGGTGTGTCTTGTCCCAGATTAAGCACTTCCCGGCGGCAGATGGCCAATCCCCCATTCCAGGCTCTACACCTAAACATTTTAACCATTTCAGGATCCTAACTGAGCTCTCGCTCAGACCCAATCCCAATTGCTAGCAGATGCGAGTCTCTGGGTGGTTTTGATTGGCTGTCACCTTCCGATGCCCTCAGGCCAGGGTACTTGGAAAGGATCACGGAGTCCAAACCCAGGCCGGGGACCCAGCAGGAGCACGCTCACCAGATGCTGCCTTGGCTGCCACCCTGCATAGCACAGGAGGCGACGCCGTGAACAAGCCTTCCCAGCTCAGGTTGGAACAGACTGTGTGAGGCACAGTCCTGCCCTCATTGAGCGTCCTTGCAATGGGGAATTAAAAGAACCGAGACAAGTCATGGGTGTTTAAGGGGAAAGGTTGTTGAATGACTTCCACATTCCATGTACTTTATCATCTCTACACCTCACAAAGCTGTTGAGAGATAGTATCGTCTGCCCATTTAATTTTATATTTGCTCTTTTGAGATATAGACTCATTGTGTAGCCCAGGCTGGCCTTGAATGTGCAGCAATCCTCCTGCCTCAGCCTCCTGAGTGCTGGGATTACAGGTGTGCGCCACCATGCCCAGTGCATTTTATAGCTCAGAAAACAGATGCTCAAGGAGTTTAATTACCCATCCGGGGTTACACTGCTGATGGAGAGGAACAGGCAGTAGACTTTAGGCTTTTGATTCCCAGGGTCAGTCTAGCCCTAACTTTGGAAGTCTACTGAGCATGATGTCTCGCCTGCCAAATCGTGCATAGATGACACAAGTGAAACCTCAATAATCCAACCATGGCGTAAGTCAGGGAGGCCGGAGAGGCCCCGAAACACCTGCATCTGCCGGCGTTGTAGCCTAGACAACAGTGGAGATGGGTTTCCAGCCCCTGGTAGAACCACCTCACTCAGCTGGCTCCTTCTCCCTTCTGGGGTGTGTAACTGCTCTGTCAGCCAGGTGCTGTTGTGAGCTTGGTCTTGGCTAATCGAGGGTGACGTGGGTAGGATCGAGGCTTGAGCCATGGAAAGGAAGCAGGCAGGTCAGCGGGCAGTGCGCCTACAGGCGAGAGGAGCTTGGGTTGGAGTCCAAGTACCTGGCTTTGCCTGAGTGCAGCTCTCGATGGTGGGGAAGGGAGAGCCTTGCAGACTCACTGCCTTTACCAACCCCCAGCTCCCTCATCTGTAAAATGGCCTCATGACAAGCCGGGCATGGTGGTGCAATCCTGTCCTCAGGAGGCTGAGACAGGAGGGTCGCTGTGAGTTCTAAGCTGGCCTGAACTACACAGCAAGACTCTGTTTCTAAAATAAAGTAGCCTTAAGATTTCCAACTTGTGGGGGAAAGGGAAGTAAAGAGGATTGAGCCCCGTTATTCCCCGCATTCAATATGATCGCTTTGTACTGCAAACAGGCGCTGATAAAAATAAGAATGAAATCTGACTCGACCGGCTGCACCACCAGCACCCAGGACCCTCGGGGCTCCATGCCCACTGGCACCTGACAAACACTGGGCCCCTTACTGTCCTCCGGTCTGCAGGGGTTGGTCCTATTACCAGCCCATTTTACAGAGGGGCTCACTGAGCCCCGTGGGGGAATGATGGCACCAGGCGGAGTCTGCCCAGACCCAGGGCCAAAGGTAGCGTTGCTGTGCTGGCCTGGACAGCGTCTGTCAACCGGAAGACTGTCACTCTGCAGAGCCCAGCAGTGACCTTGAGAGAGGGGCAGATGGAGAGGAGGCAGATCCCGGAGCCCAGCCACCTCTTCCCACAGTCACTATGGCAACAACCACCCCGTGTGGTTGCCATGGAAACTGTCTAAACACGCTCTTCCTCTCAACTTCACCATGGATACGGGGGCAGCAATGGGAAAGCAGTTCCTTGGGTGGGCGGAGGTGGAGGGGCCAGGGAGAGGTGCACTTGTGCCTGGGGATGCAGGTATAGTGTCCAGCACCTCAGTGCAGATTTCGGCCCCTGGAGGGATGCAGGGGAGGTGTTCTAACTACAGAAAAGCCCCAAATGTTTGCATCTCCCAAGGAAAGTCTGATAGCCAGCATTTTCTTTTCCCAAGTACCAGGGAACCAAACCCAAGGATGCTCTACCACCAAGCTGCATACCCTAGCCCTTTTTAAAACTTGTAAACATTTTTTTCAAACGGGATCTTCCTACATTTCCCAGGAGATTCTCCTGCCTCAGCTTCCCTCCATGCTGAGATTCCAGTTGTGCACTACCACACCCAGCCAGGCTTTCCGTACATTAACTTTTCGTCCTACTGGTTGGATGACACTGGAAACGCAAGTCCACCACCTTGGACAGCTGTTCAATGAAGTGGACGCAGACCGGTCAGGTTCAGGAAGGAAACAGGCGACCCTGATCGGGTGTCATCAGACTTTTGTTCTGGGAGACCAGGACAGAAAAACTCTGAGACCACCTTTAATCCACAAAGGTGGGGTGATGGGAAGGTGAGAAGGTGGGGAGGTCAGACTGGCTCCTGTCCCGCCAAGGGATTGGGGCCAAGCCGGTGCCTCCGGAGCCTGGGTCTCACACAGGGATGAAGTGAGGTCTGTGGTGCTCAACACTTCACACCAAGCTGGGCACCTGGTGACAGTGACGCATGCTTTGGACCGGTGTCCTTGCTGCTATCACTTTGTGAGAGAAAAGATACTTTAACCACAGAAGAGGAAAAGGAGAGCCAGGGATGTAGCTCAGTGGTGCTGCCACCTGCCCTGCAAGTGCAAGGTCTGGAGTTCAATCCCCGGTACCAAAAAAAAAGGGATATGACTGGGCTACATGAGTGTTTATATTGTATCCATTTAGCTTTCGGAAAGTCACCGTCTTGTCCCTATCCTGTATTCAGTTATATTTAGGTCGCTTCTGTTCTAGGCAAGCTTTTGTGACCTTTCTTTCCTTTCACTACTAGATGTTGAACCCAGGGTCTTCACACTAAGCAACATCCCCAGCCCTTTTTTATTTTTAAATTTTAAGATGAGGGTCCTGTTAAGCCACTCAGGCTGCGGTCATACTTGCAATCTTCCTGCCTCAGTCTCCCAGAATGCTGGGATTACAGGTGTGCACCACGGTGCCTGGCTTTTCTTCCCCAGGCTTTTCTACTTCGGGGGATCCTGAGGCAATGAATGAGTTGATACAGATGAAAATACTCTGGGAAAAATGCACACTAGTGGCTCTATTATTAAAATTATCAAAAGCAATAATATAAGAAGGTTGCATCCGGGGATTCGGGTTAGTGGTCAGTGGTTCTGCTGCCTGCCTTGCAAATGCAAGGACCTGAGTTCTATCCACAGTACAAAAAAAAGGAAGGAGGAGGAGGAGGAGGAAGAGAAAGAAGAGGGAAGAGGGAAGAGAAAGAAGCAGAGGAGGAGAAGCAGCCATAAGAAAATCCATTTCCAAAGGGTGACTTGGCACAAAGCTACAAAGTGATTATCTGAGGGTACGCAGATAGGCGTCTTGGTGTGTGAACAAGCAGGCTAGCAAACCAACTGTCAGTTTAGTACCAAGACAAACTGTCACCGAACAGAGATGGAGGAGGAGGAGGAGGAGGAGAAGAAGAAGAAGAAGACGACGAAGAAGTCTGCTCCTTTTCACAGATCTTCTCTGTTCTCTCTTCCCTCCAGCTCCACGGGGTCGGGGGGACAAGGCTGCTGTCCTCTGGGGAGAAGTCCTGTTCTGCCTACAACGAATCTGCAGTTGGAGACAGCTCAGTTCTCAGGGCTGCTGCCACCACACTTGACAGATGTCAGGGGCCCGGATAGGCTGCAGTCCCCAGGCCTCACCCCTCTGAGGGCTAGCCTGAGGCCCAGCCGGGCCAGCGTCCCTGGATCCCTCCCACCTGAAGGTGGTGCAGACACAGGCTGCTCGAGCCCGGGCAGGAGAGCGGCTAGGGGTGTGTGCGGAGCTGAGAGGGCAGCAGCCCGACTGTGGACTTTGTTTTCTGTACTTTTTTCAAAAGAGGAGCTTGTCCTTTGAGAGCTCCTCCTACCCCTCTTTCCAACCTCTTAATTCCCAGAGTGTGTCCATTGTGGCTTCCTCTGGCCAGGGAAGATACCAGGAGTGGCAGAGCCAATCGGGGTCTCCGTGTGAGCCAAACATCTTGGATGCCCAGTTGCTTAAAATCAGAAGTCAGTGCACTGGAAACACAGGCAGAGTGGTCACTAAGACTATGTTCTGCCACAGCACACAAGTGGGTTTGACTTTTCTTTTTTCTCTGTCCCTTTCTTACTTGTAAGAAGGCCTAGCAGCTGACCACCCTGGACTGCTCCAGCTACTCAATAATGTGTGGCTCTTAGCGGGGCATGGTGGGGTGCACGAGTGGTACCAACACTGGGGAGGCTGAGGCATGAGGATCCTGTGTTTAAGGCTGGACTGAGCTGCAGAGTGAGCTTTGTCAAAGCAATAAAAAAAGTGAGGTTCAGCTCCAAGCATCTATCTGAGACTACATGAAGAGGCCAGTCAGGTCTATGCCCTTTCAACAGCTTGTCTCAGCCAGGAGTAGTAGTGCACACCTGTAATCCCAGCACTTGAGAGGCTGAGGCAGGAGGATCGCTGTGAGTTTGAGGCCAACCTGGGCTACATAGTAAGTTCAAGGCCAGTCTAAACTGCATAGTGAGATCCTGTCTCAAAAAAGTGCTGATCCCATGGATTCACTGGCATTTTTTGTTTTTTTGTTTTTTTGGTACTGGGAATTGAACTCAGGTCCTTGCACTTGCGAGGCAGGCAGCGGAACCACCGAGCCAAATCCCCGGCCCCTCACTGGCATTTTTGGGTGACACGGACGTCTCTGCTCTGACCTGGGAATCAAATCCCTTGTCAATGACATGCGTGTTCTCACCTGAAAAGGAAAGGCATCTGATATCTAGACAGGGCCCGCCGTACATTGGGGGTCTGCATCAGTCACAGCCAGATGTGTCACACTGGCAGGGAGCTGAAAGGAGAGGAAGGAAACATAGAGAGGACAGCGGTCCATGCTGGGGAGGCTCTAGGCTGGCTCGGCTCTGCACCTTTGAGAAACCCCTCCTCGAGCTCTTCCGTTTACCAGAGTCGTCCTGTATCCCACCTGCTCCCGAAACATCCGGGTCCCTGCCACTGGCGCGAGCCTTGGGAACAGGAGCATTAGAGCAAGGCCTGTGGAAGCTTCCAGATTTAAACCAGTGCCACAGACATGGGACAGCGTCGCCCAGGAGAGCTGCATTACAGCCAAGCGCCAGGGTATATATAGCTGTGCCTGAGATTTTCATCTCTTTTTAAAGAAAAAGCCACACATCCCCTCCTCCAAAAGTGGGAAAAATGTACTGTAGAACAAATATTCAGGATGATTGCTCAGAATGATGGGCTGAGTGGAATTAGAAAAAACAAAACTGCCTTCGGCAAATCATCAGCAGGCTATATATGGGGGTCCGAATCCAAAGTGGCTGCCAACGAGTCCACACAGCCCCAGTCTTTTTCCATTTCTATTTATAACTGCACGAATTCACGCACAAAAAATGTAAGGGACAGCGGGCTTCGGTTTTAAAATGTCTAAAATGCCGAAAATGTTCTGAATGTATCAGGTTACGGCATGGGAGAGCCTTTTGGGGCCATGATTAGCCTCACTTACGGGACGAGGGATTAATCAGTGGGGGTGGAGGAGTAATTGGATCCTTCGGGAATTTGCAAGTATGAAAACAACTTTTTCTTTACTTCCTTTAAAAAATGTAATTCACTTCAACAAAGTTTGATTGAGCGGCAACCATGTGAAGAAAGGCAGGGACCAGGATGGGACCAAAATATGGCCGCTGGGAATTTCCTGAGGGAGGAAATTAGACACAAGGGAAGGAAGACCAGTCCCTCAGGGGAACTGCTGGCCCAGTACTGGGTACACAGAAGAGGGAGCGCGTGTGAAGGTGTTTCACTACTATCTCAGCGTCTATTCCTCCGCTCCCTTTCCAATACCCTTCTGTGAGGACAACAAATGCCTTCAGAGGAGTGGATTCTCCCGCCCAAGTTAATCACATGACCTGACTTGGCCAATCAGTGCATGCCCATGTACACATCTCCCCACGTACACAGTGATTGGTTCAAAGGTGACCACACCCTCCAAGACGGACCAATCGGGCTGGGTGTTTGCGTTACCATGAAGGTGAAGCCCTTGGAAGCTATTTTGTTTTTGTTTTTTTGAGAGAGGGTCTCGCTGTGTAGTTCAGGCTGGCTTTGAATTCACTATGTAGCCCAGGCTGGCTTCGAACTCACAGCGACCTTCCTGCCTCAGCCTCCCAAGTGCTGGGACTACAGGCACGTGCCAACATGCCTGGCCTATATCTTGTTACCCATGAGTCAAAGAAGCTGAATACAGAAGGTGAGTAAAGAGACAGAAATAAACTGGTCCCTGAGTCACCAGAATATTCCTTGCTTAACTCCTCCTGTTTGAGGTGTTATAGTCACCAGAGGCAATAAATCCCCCTCCCTGTTGAAGTCAGTGCCAATTGGGTGTTTCTGAGCTTCCAGCCCAAAGCACCCTTGCCGAGCCAGAGGAACTCAGGTGCACTTCCTGGAGGAGGCAGCACAGGACCTAAAACTTGAAACTGAGCAGGATTTAGGCCACGGAGGCCTGGGATGTCTGGGTGGGTGGCCTCAGGGCACACCCTGAATCCAAGGTAATTTCATCTCAAGATACTTCACTGTCCCAGCACTTGGGAGGCCGAAGCAGGAGGGTCGCCAAAAGTTGGAGGCCAGCCTGAACTACACAGCGAGACCCTGTCTCAAAAACCAAACCAAACCAAAAAACAGAAAAAGAAAAGAAAAAAGAGAGCAGTTTACTTTGCAGTATGTTTGAAGATTGGAGTCTTGCCCCTGAATTTGCAACTTTTGTTTTCCAGTACCCAAGTGTGAAAGGAGAGTAATCTGAGGCCTTCAGGACATTTTGTTTCCCAGCTGGGCAGAGACCTCACAGCGGTGGGGAGATGAACAGGGTTGCCCAGGTGTGGGGGGTCACATGTCACGATTTAGAAACGAATCAGTGACTCAGCTCTGGACGGCAGAGGGCCCTGCATGAAGGCACTGGAGATGCAGTCTCACTCAGCTCAGGGCCAGTGCACTTGATGGCTCCAAAGGCACAACCCTGGCGGGCAGGATTTCTGAGGGTTTTGGACACAGTGGCGCAGGCCTCCTTCTCCTGTGCAGTCGGGGAGTTGGTGCCTGGCATTCGTGCCCGAGTCCTCTGTGTCTCAGGGATGGGGGACAGGGCCTCCCACAAGTGTACCTCCTGGGCTGCAGGGCCAGTGCAGTCTGGAGACCCCTGACTTCCCACCACGTGGGAACACCCCTTCCCCAGGGCATTCCAGTCCTCTCGTCCTTCTGAGAGTAGGAGACCAAAGGATGACTCAGGTCACAGCAAGGACCTGAGGATGCTGCAGGGTGCCTGCGGGGTGAGAGTCCCGGCTCTGGACCTGGCGGACCCAGCTCTGAACCCCAGCTGCGTAATCCTTGTAGAACGATTTTATTTCTCAGTCTTCATCTCCTCATATACAACATGGAGAAAATGTTGACCTTGAATGACTATGCGGCCCAAGCTGGCCTTGAACTTGCAGCCACCCTCCTGCCTCAGCCTCCAAAATGCTGGGATGACAGGCATGCACCATTGTGCCTGGCCTGTGTGTGTGTGTGTGTGTGTGTGTTTTAGTACCGGGGATGGAACTCAGGTCCTTGTGCTTGCAAGGCAGGCACCGGAACCACTGAGCTAAATCCTGGGCCCTTGTCTGTGTTTTTAAAAACATTTAGCTGTGGATCTCTCTGTGGATGAATCCATAAGCAGTGGCCCAGTATTTTAAAAGAAAAGGGTGAAAGGAAGAGCGCATTGGATTGCTAGGCTGGGCAGGCTAGGAAGCCCTGGACCCATGGGGCAAGTGGGACAGTGCTTTGGCAGAGGTGCAGCCTCAGATCTGTTTTCCCTGGTCACCTGTCGGGGTGGAGGTGGCTGGGGGAGCCGGGGGGAGGCTGAGGCAGGCAGCTGCAGGAGCCTGGGATGTATTTCTGCCACACTGAGGTCTTGGAGGTTGGATATGCACCGACTGCTTAACAATGGCTTTGTGGGGGAGGAAAGCACAGCTCTGTGTTAACCCCAATGTCTGCAGTTTGGAAAAGTACCAGTGAGTAGCATCACTGATGCATGCAGTCTTCCCTGGGCATCTCAGGGGCCTTGGTACCAGGAGCTCCTTGAGGCTGAGAGCAAATAGCATGGCATCCGCACACAGGGCCGACTGGCAAACACGGTGTGAATTACAGTAAAGACCCATTGCCATGACTCCCCTTTGTACACACTCGTCCCACCGTCCTGCCCGCTCTCTGCAGCAGCTCTGGGGTCCTCTTTCCTGATGGTCTTTACCGGGTGCGATCACAAATACAGCAGCTGCTGCCGCCGAGGGCCATCCTACAGAAAGGCAGCTAGGGAAGATACGACACTATGTCCTCGTCCACCTTCGTTTCTTCTGGCTCCTCCCAGAGTCGAAATGACCAGGAAAGGAACACGTGTCGAATTTATTCAGGACATCGAGGCAGCCAGGACAGCGCAGCCAAAGCCCCTGTACTGAGGCACAGAGACCGGAAGTTGTCTGGATGCCAGAGACTTAGGTAAAGGTGAGTTTATTAAGAGCTGAATGGTTACTACTATGAAGTCAGTTGGAAGCAAGATTTAATCATTAATTCTGAGTGAGCTGGAGTGTTGTAAATAAACAATTACTAGAAAACTTCCATTTCCTTTAATATTTCAGATCTCTAAGCAGGGAAGTCACATCATTCGTCTGTCATGAGCATGCAGCAAAAGCTGGGGTCCTCTCAGTCTCAGAGCTTTCTTTTCTTCTTTCTTCCTCTTTCTTTCCTTTTTAGTTTTGAGACAGGGTCTCACTATGTAGCCTAGGCTGGCCGCAAACTCATGGTGATCTTCCTGCCTCAGCCTCCATCTTACTTGGATCACAGGTGTGCACCGTCACCTTTGCCCGGAGTTTCTGTGAGAAGAGCTGGTTTGTGTTTCTCCAGGCAAAATGCTGAGTGTCTCTTGGGCATCTCCAACCCTTTGGAGCGATCGTCTCACCCATGCCTATAAATGAAGTGGCAAGGGACCCAAATCCACACAGGAAGAGGAAGTGGGCTCGGTTCAGCCAACATCCTGCTTAGCCCAATCAGTAAAAAAGCCCTTCGAGTAGAACTACTGGACGATGGAGGGAGTTTCGGAGCTGGTTTCCTTTCTACAGTGCTTGGCAGAGGTCTGGGAAAAGCGGCACACTGCCGGCAGAGAAGCGTTAGCCCGTGGTAACACAGGTGAGCGGTCAGAGCCTGACCCAGGAATGCTTTATGGTTTGCTGCAGTTATTGTTGCTGGGTAACTAAGTATCAGCAGTGTGGTTGCCAGGTAACAAAGTCTCCCACTCCCATGGCTGGGTCCTGTGTGGCACTGTGCGGCAGTGTAGCTGACCACACCCACAGCTCCCACAGACTGTGTGGTCAGGAACTGGGGCCCAGGACACAGAGGCTCTGGGGCTGGGTGAAGTGGTGTCAGGGTGGGATGCAGCCCCCAGGGCCTGTGATCCTGAGACTTGGGTGTGGCTGGAGGAGCAGGTGTGGCCAATGGGCTGAACCTGGCTCCTCTCCGCACTGAGGCTTCCCACACCCAAATGCTTGAGTCCGAGTTCTGAGTGGCTCCAACACCATCCGGTCTGCTGGATAGGAACCTGTGTTCAAGGGTAGGAAACACTGCCTCTCTGTCTGGGTCTCCCCTGTACTGGAGACTGAACTCAGGACCTCTGTGCTGACCTCCATCCTCAGGCTTTTTTCTTTTTATTTTGAGGCAGGGTCTCCCTAAGTCACTCATTTGCCCAGGCTGGGCTTCAATTTGAGATCCTCTTGCCTCAGCCTTTCAGAGTACTGGTATTACAGGTGCATGCCATCATGCCTGGCTATACCCTCTTAATGGGAGAGGGGCAGTCAAGGTCATCCTGAAGGAGAGTGAGGCTTAGGCAGGGGGATCACCACAAGTTCAAGGGCAGCCAGGCCTACACAGTGAGAGCAAGGGCAGCCTGAGCTATATAGCAAGACCCTGTCTCAAAACACCACCACCAACAAAAATACCCCCAAACCAAAACAAAACACAAACAAGAAAGCTAGGTGTGGTAGTGCACACCTGTGATCCCAATACTTCAGAGGCTGAGGATCAACTCAAATTTGAGGCCAGCCTGGACTACACAGTGAGACCCTGTTGCAAAGAAAAAAAAAAAAAAAAAAAAAAAAAAAAAAGGACTGGGGACGTGGCTCACTGTGAAGGCCCTGGGTTCAATCTCCACTATCAAAACTAAAAGAAAAGACGTTAACAGTAAGAAACTGCTCGAGAAGTGAGAGGCATAGGGGAACTCTGTATGTTTAGCATCATTCTTCTGTAAGCCTAAAACTTCTCTAAAAAAATAAACTGTATTAAAAATTCCTTATTAAAAAAATTCTGGGGCCAGAGATTTAGCTCAATGGTTCTGCCACCTGCCTTGCAAGTGCAAGGACCTGACTTCGATCCGGTACCTAAAAAAAAAAAATAAAAATAAATAAATAAAAAATTCCTTATTAGTACGTTGGCTGGCAATAATCAATACCGTTGTGGGAAACTGGTACATATACATATAGGGTGTTTTTATTATGAGATAGGGTCATTAAATTTCCCTAGGCTGGGTTCAAACTTTTAATCCTCCTGCCTCAGCCTCTCAGACTGCTGTGATTACAGGTATGCACCACCACGCCTAGCTAAACTGTCACTGATGAAGAGAGAGGGGAAGAACAGAAGGGGACATAAGAATTAAGATGTGTTACATACATGTGCCAACTTCCTACGATGAAAGTTTAGTAGTAATCGTGAACTGCAAACATGTTCTAATATATATAAAATTTTAAAACATCTAAAAAAAAAAAAGCTGGGTATGATAGCACACGCCTGTAATCCCAGCACTCAGGAGGCTGAGGCAGGAGGATCGCCAGGAGGAGTTTGAGCCCAGCCTGGGCTACAGTAAGTTAAAAGTCAGCATGAACTGTATAGTGAGACCCTGTCTCAAAAAACCAAACCAAACCAAACAACAAAAACAAAACAAAAAACTGCCTTCCAGAGGCAGGGCCAGCTACTGACACTGCCCTATTTGTCCGTGTCAGTGTCAGAGTGGAAACGTTACATGGGCTATTTTGAAACTGACATGAGCTGACTGACACACACAGGCCAGCACGGGTGCTATGGGTTAGCCCCACCCCTGGTTTGGGGTGGTTTCCACCTATATTTACCCTCTGCCCCAGTTTCCACTTTTTTTTTGTTTTTGTTTTTGGTGGTGCTAGGGATTGAGCCTAGCATCTTCACACCGAGATACAGCCTCGTTCGTTCATTCAGTCATCATTTGAGATAGCATCTCACCAAGTCCCTAAGTTGCCCAGGTTCGACTTCAACTTGGGATCCTCCTGTCTCAGCCTCCCAGTGTGCTGGGGTTACAGGGAGGCACCACCAGTCCAGCTTCTTTTTAAAAACGTGGTAAGTGTATTTTCCTAAGATGCTGGAACTCTAACTTAGCACAGGTATTAGTATGAATACATAAAGATGAGGTATTTCAAGCATTGATGACTTTCAACATTTGCTCTGGCAGACTATTTTTAGTGACTCCACTTAAAATATCTTAATCAAGTTCCCTAGCTGAGTGTCAACATGAATAGTCCAGCTCTAAAGAATTCCTCTACTTGGCGGGACCCTGTCTCAAAATAGAAAAGGAAGGAAGGCCCGGGGCTTAGTTGCCTCCCATTACCCCAGTATTTGCACAGATGGGCACAGCTCAGCCTGTGAGAACGGCGAGCCCCGGGCCCCCGGGCCGGACTTGTCACCAGGCCCCTCCTCACAGCAGCCACCCAGGTCCTGTACTGCTCATGGAGGAGAAAGGCCCAGCAGTGTAGCCACCCAGTAACGTCTGTCCCCACATCTCCCCGAGAGCTGGCTGAAGACTAAGGCTTCCGTGCAGCTGCAGCCTGGGCTGGAAGAATTCCACCGCTGCACAGAGATCCGCCTCCCCCTCCTCGCCCTCCTCATGAGGACTCAGCCCAGGGCTTTCACACCGAGTTGCATCCCCAGCCTTTTTTATTTTGAGACAGGGTCTAAGACACTAAGTTGCCCAGGCTCGGGGAAAACTTGTGATCCTCTTGCCTCATCCTCCTGAGTTCTGGGGTTATGGGTGTGCACCGCCACACCCAGCTGAAAATGGCTGTGATGTCCATGCTATTCGTTGGGCAGTATTTATTTAATTGAAAACAAGTCAGAATAGGCCGGGTGTGGTGGCACAGGCTTGTAATCCCAGCAGCACTCAGGAGGCTGAGGCAGGAGGATGGCTGTGAGTTCGAGACCAGCATGAGCTACATAGTGAGTTCCAGGTCAGTCTCAACTACATAGTGAGACCCTGCATCAAAAAAAAAAAAAATCGAAACAAATCAGAATCATCCATTCCCCATTATACAAATTCATTAGGATCTCACTATACTGATATGAACAAATGGATTCAGGCATATTAAACTTTTCATTTCCTTATTTAATGATGTTGGGGGCCTCACCTGAGCTATACCCCCAGCCCATTTATTTTTGAGACAGGGTCTTGCTAAGTTGTGCAGGCTGGGCTCAAACTCATGCTCCTCCCGCGTCAGCCGCTTTGTCCAGCACTGGTTGGTAGGAGGCTGTGCGCTCCCCCGCCCACGGCCGGGTCCGGGTTCCACAACCCAGGTTCAGCCGCCGGAGTGGCCCCTTCGGGACCGGGGCTTCCTGGTTGCTGTGGCCCGAAAGAGCCCGCGGACACTGCAGCCCACACACCGCGTTCAGCCTTACTCATGGCTGGCTGGTGAAGCCGGGTCCGGACCCACTCCGAGGTTCGGGCTGGGTGTCAGGGGAGTGGAGGGGGTGCGGAGGAGGGTGAGCTGTGCCGCTGAGGATCCCGCCAGGGGAAGCGAGGCCACACCCAGGGAAGGGACTGGCGGCGTCGTGCTTCCGACCTAGAGCGCCCCCCAGCGCCTCCTGTGCAGAGCTCCGGGGCTGCTGTGGGGAGGAACCCAAGGCAGGGCCTGGTCCTGGGGAGGGACTGCAGCACCTGCCGGCCCTCGCTCTTCCCCTTGGGCTTGCAGCCTGCTAACCCCACTGAACCTGTCGAAGCCGTGCTTCTCCCTGGGGTCGGCACTCCAGGATGTGGGCACAGGAGGAATAAAATGGCAGCCAGGCGGTCGGAAGGAAACACTGAGTCCTCTCTGTCTGTGGGCCCGATGTGAAGAAACCACCTGGCCGCTGCACACTCCTCACTCACAGGGCCGGTGCTGAGAGCTTCCCCATAAACGACCCCCTCTTCACGCCTCGTCAGGTCGGTGAGGAGACACAGAAGCCCGAGAAGAGCACAAATCTCAGGGCCAACAAAGGTGACTGAGGACCTGGCTGTGGACTGAACACCAGACTGCAGACCTGTTCCGTGCCTCCCTCAGCCTCAGCAGCACCCACTACACTGGCAATTTTTGCTGTTTAGCTTTCTTGTGCTTCACGTTTCGTGGCATCCCTGTCCTCTACTCCTTGATGCCAGGAGCACCCTCCAATCATGAGTCAAAAATCTCCACGCTGTGGCCCACACCTGTCACCCCAGCACTGTGGGAGGCTGAGGCAGGAGGATCGAAGTTCAAGCTCAGCCTGGACAACTTAGTGACTCAGTGAGATCCTGTCTCAAAAAATAAAAAGGGCCTGTGGATGTAGCTCGGTGTAAAGGGCCTGGGTCCAACCTCAATTTCAAGAAAACCCAAACTAGTCACTGGCAGATGCCCAGCAGGGGAAGTGGTATATCTGTGGCCTTCGGGGCCCTGGGCAGGAGGCACCCTAACAGAAGCCAGAAGAAGCAGGACCTTCAGCATCCAGTTCCCGCTCCACGCTCTCACCGGACAGCTGCTGCTATGCCTGCAGAGGTGACGGGGGCATGGCCAGGCCGGCAAGGGACCCTGCCCAGAACACCCCCTAACAGGCACTCAGCCTTCAGAGCCCCAGGTTCCACACAGCCTTGGTTTCTAGACACGAGCGATGGGCCAGATGTCTGAGTGAGGGTCCGCGGAGCACCCCAGGCCCGGTGGGGAGTGGGGGCGGCACACGTGTGCACACCACTCCCTCCTGAGCAGCGGTGGCCGTGGAGGTCAGGAGGAGCCCACAGGGTGAGGGTTCCATGGGTCCCAGAGCCACAGCATGAGATGTGGAGCCAGCACTGCTCAAGGACAGGAAGGGCAGAAGGCTCAGGTCCCAGGCAGGAGCCAGTCGCCTCTGGAAAGTGCTCCCCGGGCTTGGGTGCCCTGCTGCTCCTCTGACACCGCTGGCTGTGCCCCCACCCCACCTGGCCTGCTGCCCAAGGGGGCACCACCCTCATGGAGCCCACGACCCCCCATGGCCCTCCGAGCCACAGCGCCCCCTGCAGCTTTTCCTTCGCTAATTCTACACAACCTGGTAGTTTTAGAGCTTTATTTTAAAACTTTCTATACACGGTCAAACCTTTCTCTGAAAGTGAGAGGCTGAACATATGAATCCATGATGCTCACAGGAATCCTGCCCGAGAGATGAGCTGGACTTCACCCGCCCCATACTCATCTGCCACTTTCACCGTTCACTTCAGACGGGACAGGCGGGATGCAAGGCGCTGGGAGGTGACAGTGACAACAGCCCCTAAGGAGCTCACAGTCTAATGGTAACTACTGAGTAAACTGAGGCACGGGGTGGTAAATGACTTACCGCTGAGGTAGAGCGTGAGGTGCTTGGAGGGGACCAGCGCCGGGGTGGGGGGACAAGAGCCCCAACAGAGGGGAAGGCCACACAGGAACTCCTGACGACGCCTACCTGCAGGAAGCTGAGCCCAGCTCCGACAACACCGTGACTGAGTCATCGTCACGGACAGCACTTCTGGCTGTGGCCCACACCTATCCTGGGGACCCCGCGGACGGCACGATCCCTGACCACGCTGGGAGCTGCAGGCAACACTGCGCACTGTGGTCCTTGCACGGGCAGAGAGCTCTCCTCTCTCCTGGCCCAGGAGTCTAATAAATTAGAGAACCGAGGACTCGGCGCCCGAGGCCACTGTCCACAGGCCATGATCTTGTACAAGGTGCAGGGGTCACGGGACGTGTTTCACAGGAAGCTAAACATGATACAGGTAAGTACAGACACTGCACAGGCCCGTGCACCTGTGAGCTGCCGGCGTGACCCAGGTAAGGCAACTGCTCCTGTGTCTGTGACAGGAGGCGGGAGGCCCTGCCTGCCTGCTGTTCCCTGCGTCTCCCGCAGGACAGCGAGTGGGGACAGAGCATCGTCTGAGCAGATGACGCCGTCCGGGCGCCTAAGGCGGGAGCCACTCGAAGCACTCCTGGCCAACTGCCACCACAAGGAGGGGAGGGACGAAGTTCTTCTCCGCCGCCCTGTAGGGGTCGCCGCTGCTGGACGCTGTGACTGCACCCTGGCTGGTGGCGGCTCTGGCGGTGTCAGTTGCTCACCCCCAGCATCTCTTCCCTCTGCTGTGGCGGCTCCTCTGCAGGACAGGGGCAGAGACGGACGGACGCCTCAGGAGAGAGGACCCGACAGGAGCCTGCGCGCACAGCAACGGCGGAACCCCATCTTTCTTTTCTTGTTTTTGGTACTGGGGATTGAACTTGGGTCCTTACGCTTTCAAGGCATGCGGCGGAACCACGGAGCTAAATCCCCAGCCCATGACCCCATTTTTCCAAGCCTCGCTCGAGTAAGGGAATAATGAGCTGTGACCAAGGGAGGCAGACCCCACCAGATCCTGCGCCCGCACCGCCAGTGACCAGAGCCCCCCTGCACGTGAGCTGAGCCCTCCCAGTCACCTTTGTCGGGGCGTGCAGGGCGCGTGCTTGCAGCCGGGCGGCTCTGCTCCACCTCGCACAGGTACACGTCGATGGGCCCCTTGGTGCTCCGGATGTGCACAGTGATGGAGTCCTGCGGGGACAGAACAGGCCTCAGCCACAGTCACAGCGAGATGACCACAGCCTGACAGCCCTCTCTCTGGGGCCGGGGCTCCCAGGAGGAAGCCAGTAAATGGCGCTCGCTCAGAGGCTCCACTGAGGAGGAGCCGGGAGGGGGTCGCCCTTGACGCACCTGGGAAGGAAGACAGGCCACTCGGCTTCAGCTCCCTGTGCTCCCCAGAAACCCTGCAAGGCCCCAGGCCCTCAGAGCAGCTCTTGTTAGGGCTGGCCGACTGCCCCTCCCGTGTCACCTAACAGCCAGGCTCAGGGTCTCACATGCCTGCAATCTTAGCTACGCTGAAGCTGAACCAGGAAGCTTGAATTTGAGGTCAGCCGGGCAACTTCATGAAATCCTATCTCAAAATAAACTCAAAAGGGTTTGGAATGCAGCTTGGGCATGGTACTCACTCACCTAGCACATGCAAAACCTGGGTTTAATCCCTAGTATTACAGAAAAAAAGTAAATTAAAGACTGGGTCCCCCTTGCTGCCCCCAGTCCCAGGCAGGGGCCGGACAGCATCTCACTCAGCTGCTGGGGCTCCACTGCTGCACGGTGTGAGTAGGCCGCCCAGTCTCCCTGCAGCAGGCAAGGGAGTGGCGGGTTCAGGACCTGGCCCCTCTGAGTTTCTCCCGTGAGCACGGCTCGGAAGCTTTGCTGGTGTCTGAGGCCCAGCGAGCCTCCCAGGAAGGGAGCCTCACCTATCACACTCCCGTCAGAGTGAGGCAGGCTAGGCAGGGCCACCCACCTCTCTGGGCGCGGGGACGTCCAGCCTCGTCTCCTCTGGGGCCTTCACCGCGATGACAATCTGCTCGTGGAAGGCCCGGATGCTGTGGATGTCCTGGTACGTGACGTAGGCCAGCGTGGGGTCGTCAAGGAGCAAGTGCGGCTGCAGGGTGGGCACAGAGCTGACAACCCGCGCACAGCAGCAGTGTCTGCTGTCAGACTCACAGGGCAGGAGGGGAGCTGGTAACTAGGTAACTTGCTAGTTCACATATACAAGTTTTACAGGGCTCTGTGGTATTTATAGCTAACTTGAAGAGGTCTTAACAGAGCTCTTGTGGTTACAGTGATTTCTCGAGAAAACTGAGTCTCTAAACACAGACACATTCAGGGGCACAGCTGTGCCCCTCATCCTGGGACCACATCCCGGGCCCTCGGTGGAGGCCGAAGCACAGAGCACCGAGCCTGAAAGCGTACCGACTGGTCCTTCCAAGGTTCCCACCTAATGTATGTGGACCACAGTCGACCGAGGTGAGACCACAGAAAGCAAGCCACAAACAAGGGCAGATGACTATGTTCCAATCCCCACCTCTGCCCTATTCAGGGTCAGATCTTAGTAGAAACTTCAGGAAAAAATATTTGGGGCTTTGATAAGCCCACTACTTCCCCAACCTATAAAAAGTAGGAACAGCTTAGAGAACAGATTTCGTGAGAACCATCATGTATTCATGGATTTTCCTCTTCTCAAATTATTTTCTGCAGGGCACGGTGGCGCATGCCTGTAATCCCAGCCCTCAGGAGGCTGAGGCAGGAGGATCACTGTGAGTTCGAGACCAGCCTGGGCTACACAGTAAGTTCCAGGTCAGTCTCAACTACATAGCGAGATCCTGTCTCAAAAAACCAAAACAAATTAAAGAAGTTATTTTGCATCTCGGTATCTTGTTTTTTTCATCTTGTTTGTGCGGCCTGAAATCTTACTAGTTAACTGGTCTAGATTGTTGTCATTGTCCTCATCTCCAATGGCAGTGGGGATGAGCCCTGCTTATGTGGTGAGGGGTCTCATTGAGTAGTAAAGCTGCCGCTAGGCTTGGGCCTGGGGCCCTGCTTCACCACGCCGAAGTGCGGTTATGCACAGCCTCGCCTCCGGTGTCTCTTTCGGCACTGCACACTTCCTGGCCGGCTGCAGTGGAACACTAACTTGTGTTTTCTCTCTGCGCTGCTAACTGTCCTGTGTGGAGGAGCAACCTGGAGCGTCGCAGAGCAGCCAGGATTCAGTCCCAGCCTGGCCGAGTGCAGACTGAAGCCCAGTATGAACACGCTCACTCTGGGCTCCTGGGGACTGCGCGTCCCAAGGGGATCAGCTGTGAAGGCTGCAGGGAAGGGATCCAGGGAATGGCAGTGCCTTCCCTTACTATTTGGGGACGCTGAGTACCTGGTGACTGGGCCGCTGTGGGCCTGGGTGGCGTTCAAGCACCACCTCACGGTGACTTTGCCTCAGAAATAAACACCGATACAGACTAGGGCAGAGGTGATTTAGGCCGAGGACTGTAACCACCACAATGGGCAGTGCTGTGCTGAGCAGAAACACTGGCTTGCTCACTGCCCACTCAGGTCACACCCAGAATGTCACTCTAAGGCTACCATGGCGAGGGGCACTGACCCACCGTGGGCGCCTGCAGCTGGGCCAGGGCACTCTGCTTACGTTCACATTTAAAGGTCTAATTTTAAATTGTGAATGCAGAGATACAGAGATGACATCCCCAAGTGGATCCCATTACTTAATCAGCTTTCCTGGCAGAAGTGTTTGAGGCGGGGGGGGGGGGGG